GGTGACCGGACCACGAGTATCCGGCGTCCGGTCGATTCTGATAAGCATCCAGAAGCGACCGAACAGCGTCCGGTCGGTCTTGACCGGACCCTATCTCGCGCTCGGTCATCACTTAGAAACTATTGCTGGATTGAACTGATCGGGCGTCCGGTCAATACGATCGGAGCGTCCGGTCATCCCGCGAAGCTCATAACGGTTCGTTTTTTCAGTTGCCTTATAAATAGAAGCTCCACTCGTGTGTGGAGTCACTTTTGCTCATTCCAACAGCTGAGAAACACGTTTGTGAGTGCCAAGAAGAGCAAGGTCCTAGTGAGGTGTTTGTGATTTGAGAATCCAAGAGTGAAACCTCATTAGTGAATCAAGAGTAGACAAGTGTGCATCCATCTTCTCATTAGGCTTGGCGTGGTCAAGTGAGAGTTCGTGCTTGTTACTCTTGGTGATCGCCATCACCTAGACGGCTTGGTGGTGGTTGGAAGCTTAGTGATCACCCGGGCGGAGCTTGTGGGTGACCCAACTCAAGTTGTGAGCGGTTTTGGGTGATTCGGCCGCGACGGAGTGTCGAAGAATCAAACCGTGAGAGCACTTGATCCTTGCAGCGGATCAAGGGGAGCTACACCCTTGCACGGGTGCTCCAACGAGGACTAGTGGAGAGTAGCGACTCTCCGATACCTCGGCAAAACATCGCCGCGTTCCTCTCTCCATTTACTTTGAGCATTTACTTTAAGTATTTACTTTGAGCAATTCAATACTCGTCTTTACATTCATAGAATTGCTATGCTAGAGTAAGTTTGGAACATAGGTTGCAAGTCTTTTGTGCGTTGATTTGATAGAAACACTTTTTCTAGGCACAAGGGGTTAATTGGGCTATCCGTAGGATTTGATTATTGCAAGAAAATTTAGAATTAGCCCAATTCCCCCCCCCCTCTTGGGCATCTTGATCCTTTCATGGGTGTAACGGTCGGGCGACAAAACCGAGGAAATTTCCCTCAGATATAGCGTAGTTAATCCAGATCCGACTAAACCGCCCATGCGTCCGCCCTTTCCTCATTAACCGCGCGCGCACAGTAACGTCCCATCCGCAGACATCGCATCGCATCCAACCATAGCAACAGCAGGCGCCATTCTCCGAGAAACCACCTCAAAAGGCGCGCCCGCAATTGTCAGCCGATGGGAGGGGAATATCCCCTAGCCGATTCCTTTCAGGCTAAGGAACCGGGCACCGAGCCCGTTACGGTCCAGGGGTTTAAAGGCTGGGCCCCCGAGGGTCTCGACAGCCGCTCTAGGACAAACAGAGTCAGGGATGACTATGGGCGAGCCCGTACATGGCCGAGGCCCAAGCAAGCAATTGCTTCGGATGCCCTAAGTCGTGTCCGAGACCGGTAGGGAGGTCTCTGAATGGGATCCCACCGAAGGGAGGCGACGAGCCCCCGGGACCAATCGAACGGCCCTAGGACCCTCTAGAGAAGCCCTCTGGTACTTTTGGAGTGCGTCTCTGGACCACAAGCCGACCCCTATCGAATGGGGCACGGGCCTCCACTTGGACTTACCCGATAACAGCTCACCGGAGATGTCACTGCTCGCGCCCACCGAGGGTAGCCTGGCATATTCCACCCCTCCTTCCGAGTGAAAAGGATGCACGAGGGTCGCACAAAAAAGATAGGGAAACTCCTGATCGCCCTCTCGCTCCATGTGGAGGCTCCAGGGTTCTTCCTGCAACCAAGCTGAGACCCAGCGACCCAGGCTCGCACTCGAGGGCTCGACAAACAACCCCTCCTTCCAAGCGAAAAGAATGCGCGAGGGTCCCACAAAAAAGACAGGGAAACTCCTGATCGCCCTCTCGCTCCGTGCGGAGGCTCGGGGGCTCTTCCTACAACTAAGCCGAGGCCCAGTGACTCGAACTCGCACTTATGGGCTCGACAAACGTGATAAAACTATTCAACAGTGAAAAAGCCCCTGGAGGAGTAAATCCACTCCTCTAGGGCCTCGGGGGCTACACCCGGCGGGTGCGCTCGCGCGCACCCACCGAGGCCTCAGACACAAAGCACAATCCCGACGAAAGCCACTACGAGCCAAGTCTCGTCAAAACCTCGGGGAGAGTGCCCGCACTCCCCCCGAGGCTCGGGGGCTACTGTCGGATACCATAGAAAGGGGTACCCTAAGCAAGAACCGAAAAAATTGCTTAGACCTTGTAAATACCAAAGCCAAGAGACAACCACGCGGGCCTCGGCCGATTCTCCGATTCGCCCGAGGCTCACGCCGTAAGGCCTCAGCACATTCTCCGGTTCGCTCGAGGCCCACGCCGCAAGGCCTTGGATGAGCTACCAACTCTCCGCCTCGCCCGAGGCCCCACCCGAAAGGCCTCGGGCGAGGTACCGATTCTCCTCTCGCTCGAGGCCGGCTCGGCATCAGTCCCACCGTAGCTTTGACCGACCACCCTGACACAGCGTCACACTCAACCAATGCGTCCAACCACTCCCGCAACGTCAGCCACACTCCAGCGCGGTACAGTGGAGTGGCCGACGGGACGGGAGTCACATCGACGCCATGCAGTCTAGGACAGGACGGGGCAGGGGTTACCGGCCACTATGCTCGGCATTGTGCCCCCTGCTGACGCCCGTACTGCACTATGCTACCTAACTCCTGCTCCGAGGATAGCGCGGCGTGGAGAGTCAGGTCCGGGTCCCTGTAGCCTCAAAATCAGTGTATAGGACCAACTGCTCCCTCCGAGCCTCGGCAATCCGCTTCAGGGTCTCGACAGCCTCAGGATTCGCGCCCGCCGAGCCCCCCACGATGGCTCGGCCTCGGCACCAACTGAGCCTCGACTCTTTATGCTGTCAACACTCTGGCAGCGGCACGTCACCCGCGGAACACGCCATACCCTGCGTCAGGCTGCAGGAGCTCCCACGTCGCGTATAGGGCTGAGCTCCTGTATCCTCGGAGTCAGCACACCCGCGCCATCGCATCAACCCGGCCTCGGCACTCCGCGCCGGTCCAACGTACAGCAACCGGCACGCTTCCAACGCACCTGCCACCATAGGAGCTCCCACGTCGCACAGGGCCAGGCGTGACAGGCGCGTCGCTCCAGAGTACCAAGGACAAGACCACTCCATCAACCATACCGCCGCAGTAACGAGCTACAGGGCTCGGCACGCCGCCTCCGCTCACACAACGCACCACGTAGCAAACGCATGTACCGCCCCTGTCCTCTCCTTCAACTATAAAAGGGGGCGACCGGGGTCGTTTCTAGGACAAGGAGAGACACCCGACGAGCGCACACACACACTCACGGAGACATCGCTCAGATAGACATACGCGCAAGCAACGAGTAACACTCTGTAATACACACGCTCTTCACTGCGAGAGATCAACATCTCAAGCAACCCACGCCGCTCCACGCAGAGACCTGGGACTAACCCCCTCTCTCGCCCTGCTTGTAAACCCCTACTACAAGCACTTCGGTGCAAGGAATACAAGATCGCTCTCTCAAACTGGACGTAGGGCACCTTTTGCCTGAACCAGTATAAACCTTGTGTCTCTTTGCATCACCATCCGGGATAGGGACACGCAGTACGTTTTCACTCGTTGGTTGAGGACCCGCCGATCCAAAACACCGACAGTTAGAGTACCAAATCAAAGGTTAAATGTTTCTGATTATTTTGAGAATTTGTAGGATTTATCTTTTTTCTTAGCGCGTCCGGTGAGAATTAACGTGGTGCCTCTGTCGGCCTCTAATTAGTAATAGTAAGATGTTGAGCATATTAGCTAAAATGATAATAAAGACAAACAGAAAGTATCCTATTACTGAGAAAATACGTGTTCAAATCCAAAATACCATGCGTTTGAGTTCACTTCCATCCGGTTCAAAGTCCTAACCATGAATCTCTCTTAAATGTGAAATTAAGATAATTTCTCAGCTCAACTGGTGCTAAGTTTGAATCTAATTGATAATACGCGTCCAATTCGAAATATATAAATATTTATGAGCATTTCTAACTTTTGAAGAAAATAGGATTACTCTATGTATTCTTTTAATAGGAAGTATTTCAATTTTGTCTTTATTTCGAAATTGGTAGAATTTGAACATAACATTTGCCTTTTTCTTTTCATTCCTTTTTCCATGTTCCAAAGGCCTTTAATGGGCCTTCTACTAAACTGGACCTGCTAAAGACATAGGCTTTCCAGGCTTTTCACGGAACAGAAAATACATGTTTTTGGGCAATCAGTACTGGCTTTTCACGGATCAGAAAGTACATGTTTTGTTGCAATCATAACTGCTCTAGTGTTCGATTACGTCTTTTTTAATAGAAGTACAAACGCTGATGATCATATTCACATCTACGCGTGTATAGCATTTTTTTTTTTTTTGAGAAACACCTACGCGTGTATACCTGACCCATAGGCGGACCGAGGTGTTTATGTTTAGATTCATAATCCAGTAAATGAAATTCTTAAATGGTTAACGTATAACAAAATCTAACTTTTATTTCGTGGTCTCGTTAGTTTTCTTGAAATTATGATTCATTGCTGTACTTGCATTGCAGGAGGAAAAAAAAAAGCAAGTTTTACACCAGAGCAACATTCAGCACATGATTGAGCACAAATTCTTGCTCATCGGTCAGGTTGCCCTCCCTTCTCTGCATCAGTGAGTTCTACCTTTGTGCCATTTGTTTCAGATTTCCAGGCATGACTATCCTATCTACAGCTAGGCAAGCAGCTCATTTCAGTCATGATCCAACCAACTAGCTTTCCGGATGCTCAAAAATGCAATTCCATTTGTGCCACTGCCGGATAGTCAAATTCAGTGGATCAGTACCGATTATGAACCTTGCATTCTCCAAGAAAATAGTACTCCTGGCAGCTACGACTCATCAAATTTCCAGTTCCAGGAAATGTAGAGTGATTGTTACAAAGCACAATGCGATCAACAGAGGATAACAGAATCAACAGGGCGTGGATCACCGTTGGCAAAGCCTCTCATCAGCCAATCATAAAAAAAATAGTCACTGGTCAAATGATGCAGCTACAGCTGCAGCTGGAGCCTCGGCGAACCTGATCAGGCTGTTCATCACATCAACCCTACCGGATCTACCGGCATCACTATCAACTCCAACCGCATCCACATTGGCGGTGCCGGCATCGCCGCCATTGAAGAAGTCAGCGGGCGCCTGCCACTTGGAGTCTTCCAGCACTCCTCCCACCTCAAAGCTCATCACATGCTGCTGCATCCCTGGGGAACAAGAACACAGATCATCATTCACACTGCTGCATCAACCACGTACTGCATAAGTGAAGAAACTGAAACTAAATAAGATATTCACGGTTCAGATAAACAGAGACTGCAGTAAGAAGCACAATGACAAAATTTACTAGTGATCTCCAATTAAGAACCTAAGCAATTGGAGAAATCCAGACTGCATCTGTGCACAAAAAAATCACATATTTATACCGGAAAAATGCAGAAATGTTAGTACTGCAAAAAGACAAGCAGAGTTCCAAGTGTCAGGATAACTATTCGGTGTAATTCAGACTGCATCCCTGCACAACGAAATTGTAGAATCGCCACTATAGCTGCATCAAAGGGAGAAAACAAGTTCCTACAAATTTAGACTGCATCCTCTTTTTTTTGAGAAAAATTGCACGCATTGTTAGATCAAAACACCCGAGAAGGGTGTGAATCACCGAAAATCCGCGGCGCCCCATCAAGAGGCGACAGAAAGTATAGATGGAATGTGCAGGTGATAGGCTGATAGCTACCATACCATTGAAGAAATTCCAGCGGACGGGGCGGCCGGTGGCGACTTCCTCTTAGTACCAGACGAAGTCGACCTTGGTCCAGAGGTGGCAGTCGAAGCCGTCGACGTGCTCGCGGCCGAGGTAGACGGCGCCGGCGGCGAGCCAGTCGGGCGGCAGGAGCCCCACGGGGAACAGCCTGCTGTGGCAGGACGCGGAGTCGAAGAAGTAGGAGGTGCCGTTGGTCCACTCGACGTCGTAGAGCGGGTCGCCGGAGAGTTGGTCCCGGATGAGGTTGAGGTTGCGGCCCCCGGGCCAGTCGTAGTAGAGGTCGATCAGCTGCAGCCGGCCGCCGCTCTCGGTGAGGTTGGTGAACACCACCGCGTGGAACTGCTCCGGCCACGGCGTCGGCACCGGGGAGGGCGCCGGCGCCTGCCGCATTGGCCGCTGCGGGGATACAGCGGAGAGGAGGAGGAGGAGGGGGTGGGAGCACCGCGAGGGGCGACGGCGGCGGCGACATCGGCCACTGTTGCGCCTTTACCCGGGCTTATCGCTTCGCGTGTGCCTACCTTCCACTAACCAGCCAGTCCAAGCTGCACCGAGGGAGCAAGTGGTCTGTAAAGTGGGTCCCACCGTTTCAGTAGTGAAGTTGTAAAATACGACTCGGAGAGGTTTCAATCGAATGGCCAGCGGCCGGAAGTCCGACTCCGACCACAGCAGGCGTTGCGCATCCACAGTATCCCGTTCAGTTTCCACGTAATAGAAGTGCGTCCATAACGCCGCAGCGCCGTAACAAACAAGCTGGCTGTTTCCATTAGATATTGCTATAGTTTTTTGCTCTGATTTGGTGCAGCAGCAGTCGTTGCTGGGCTGCACAGAAGTGCAGTCGAACAAGTCGAAGAGCGCGCCCACCTCACCCCGCCTGCGGAGGCGTCTGCGGCCTAAGGCGCCCGACGGTGACACACGACGACCCTAGCAGCAGCAGGGGTTATGGTTGGTGTCGTGGGTCACATTGCAACATGTGTAACACTCGATCTATTTTTAAAACATCCCAATAAAACACTTGCAATATTCAGCTGAAGACAGATGAAAACACTCGAAACATGTGTCTGAAATACTTGCAAAAACAACTAAAAACACTTGAAAACTATTGACAAATATACTCAACATCCAGATAAAATACTTGCAACATATGTATAAAACATATGCAACATTCAGATAAACATACTTGCAAAAATATTTATTAAAAAACAGATGAAAATTGGGAGCATAAGTTTGCAACAAACGTGTACAACCATTGCAATATATGCAATATTCCGATCTACCTTTGCAACATCCATATGAAATACTTACAACATATCTTTAAAACACTTGAAACATGCGCTTTCAGCAAAACCTGGCAGGTGGGTGAGCGGAGCACTCACAGTGAGATATGGCGCTAGGTCACAGTGGCGAAGGAGGATGGCAGTGGGCAGGCGGCTGCGAGGCACCCTGTGAGCGGCGATGCGGCCTCGGTGAGCAGCACCCGTAGTGGAGGCAACAACGGCGGTCGGAAAGGTGTGACCTCGCGCGGCGAGGCACCCCCGCACCGGACAAGGTCGCGGCGGGTAGGTGTGGAGCCCATGGCGAGGCGCCCTGCGCTAGAGAAGGCCACGGCAAGCGGTGGGGAACGCCGCGACGGCTGTGCGAGTTAGGAAATGTCGTTGTGTTTTTTTTTGAGAAGCGGTGAAGGAAGGTAGAGCAGAGTAGGCCTGTTGGGCTGGAAGCGCGTTGTTCAGACAATCGAACGCCGCACAAGTATTTCTACAATCTCAAACATGCAGTCCATGGACCAAAGTAGTGACGGGCTGACGAGAATGGGAAGATTTGGGTTGGGGGCCCAAGGATTTTAGGTCCACCAAGTGTGGAGCAAGGACGATTTTCTTCCTATGATTTTCGAGTTTGGTGACCCAAACATATTGGGATCATTTTTTGTGGATGCCAGTGAAGAACCAAAATAGATCATTTTGAATCAAAACTTATGGCTTTTATTAAAATACTGTTCATGTAAGATGTTAAATTTGTTCTAAGTTGAGTCATAGAAGTAGGGTGGTTTATTCCCTCATGTTTATACATGTAAATATGCAATGGGAATTGTTGGCGTCTGGACGTCCAATCCAAGCACAGCGTCGAACGGTACCCGTGCGCAAAGAGAAGGAGCCCGCGACCACCTATTTTTTCACGTGCCCCACCACGTGGCCCCCCTACACCTGCGTTTGGTTTCTCTGTGCCCAGTTGACGGCGCTTTGGCAATGGGCCTGATGAGGACATCACTACTTCGTCGCATACAAGTCAAGGAGAGGAGGAGGTCCAGCATGGGCGTCCAATTCATCTTTTCCATGGTGAAAGCCCAATCCAACTGAAGTTGGAGCCCATCTCGGGTTTCAGGACCAGTTTGCCTTAAACTGGTCACCTAGGATGCATCCGGACTCCGTTTTCGACGATCCACATATGGATGAAAAGCTAATTTGATAAGGAAGCTAATCCAAATGGTCTCACGTCAAAAGCTATTCGGAATCAATGGGAATAGTGGTCACAAGTCAGCGCCCAGAATCTGCCAGGGTGCTGCGACACCGTAATTTGGTCCGTTGGACCGTGTATCGTGTTTGGGCCCATTAGGGGGCGCGTCTAGGGGGTGATGCCTACGACTCTATAATTAGCAGCCGTCGCTCTCCTTAGGGTTTGGGTTTTGTTTAGTACTTGATTTCCTCGTGAAACAGACATCGTTTTGCTGCAACTGTGCCGCCAAGGCTGCTTGCTGTGAACCAGGGCCCCAGTTCTTGATCTTGTTCGCCTGTGGTGATTAGTCCTTTCGAATAAAGACTTGAACTCCTTCTTATTTTCATAAGCCTCATATTTATTTGTAATTTCAGATTGCGTTCATCTCGTTCTTGCTTGTGTTCTCGATTCGCTTGCAGGAAAGCCTTCTCGGCGAGGTTAATCACGTTCGCGTGGTTGATAACCAACGGAACAGTGGTGTAATGGTTGCGGAGGTCCGAATCAGTCTTGGTTTGAAACCTAGATTGTGAACGTCGAATCTCCATCAATCGACGCTATCATACCTTTCAGAAGATCGGGTCTAGTCTACATCAGGTGGTATCAGAGTCATTATTGTCCGTTAGGTATAACTTTGTTTTTCCTTTAGATTGTTACTGTTTTTGCATTACCTATAGTCCACAAAAAGCCAAAAAAATATATATACCACCATATATTCTCTGTCCTATAACCTCGTTGTGCCGTGCAATTTCGTTTCTGTTTCGCATTGTTGAGTTTGTGTCCTAGGTTAAGTTCTGGTTGCTGGTTTTAGATCGTTTTTTAGTTTAGATTGTGTTTTTCCCTTTGTCTTTCATCATAATCCGTGAACACCTTCAAGTCTTGCTGTGTTTCCTTTGTTTCTATCAAACCATAGTCCACGCCATCTAATTTGTTACACTTGTCTTCACTGTTTCCATCAAATCCTTACTGTCGTGACCAATTTTGCGCGCATTGTTCCCGTTTTGTCCTCTAATTCGGAGTCCGTTCGTAAAACTGGTCTAGTTTTCGTATACGAACTCAGATTTCGATGTTCCATATATCCAAATCGATCAGAAAAAAATTTCGAATCCATCCATCCCCCGCATTATTGGGGTCAGAGATTTTTATTTTGGTCAAAAAGTGGTCACAAGATGCTTTTTTCGTGGTCACAAGGTTTTTATCGAGTTTGAGCACTTCTTCTGAAAATTCCACAGGCCACGTCTTTCACTTATTTAAGCTCATATTTTCTGTGGTTACTTCTTTTGTGCTCCTAAGTAAAGGAAAAATATCAAAAAAAGAAAAAGAAAAAGTCAAAATTTTCAAAAAAACAACGACAACAAAAAAAATAGAAAAAAGTGGGGCAAAAGAGGAACAATATCTAGAGGAGCACATAGAGAGCGCCATTTAAGCTGTGTTTGCGTGTGCTGATTTGTGCCTTATTCCTAATCATATTTCTGTTGTTCCCATCACTTGATACATATGGTACTTGGAACATTAATAGGCCAGCAACTAAGACAAGTACTTGGGATATTTATTCAGCTTTGCTATTCAGTTGTGAATTTTGCTATTCCTTGCTACTATATTGTGTCTGTCCAAACTCCACTTTCTTCTAACCAAGTACATGTTCGCCTTGCAACTATTACACTCAAGTTACAACAGTATCACAGTCACCGACCAATTGCACCGCCTGTTGCTTTGGTAAGAACACTTGTAAGACCGTGGTAAGACACTTGAGAGTTTGAGTGCCTTATTTTTTTTTGTCCACAACCTAAGTAGTTGGTAGGGATAATACTATTTGTGTTGTCTTCTCCTTTCTACTAACCATGTCAGGAAAAGCCGGAGGCAACGGCCAAGGAAACGAGGACGCACCTATAGATTTCAATGACTGTGTTTCTAAGAATGAGCTTCGTGCCGTTCTTGATGACAAGTTCAATGAGATCCTTCAATAAATTATCAATTTGGCCAAGAGGATTGAAGATGTTGAACAACGACATCTTGAGCCATGTCCTGAGGATGATGAGGATGATCTTTCTGAGGAGGATGATGGTGACGCGGAGGCTGAAGCCGAAGCTCAACGACGTGCTGAGGATGCACGTAACCATAATCGGTTGAACTTTAACCAACACGGTATGGGAGGTAATAACCAAGGTAATAATAATCCTTTATCTAAAACCAAGTTTAAGATACCTCTTTTTTCTGGTTCTGCTGATACTGAAGCATATTTAGATTGGAAGATGGCTGTAGATAAAAAATTTAGCTCCCATCAAGTATTGGAAGAATATAGAGTTAGACTTGCTACTAGTGAGTTTACTAGTTTTGCTCTTTTCTGGTGGAATGATATTTGCAATAATGCTAATGCTAATGCTCAAATACCTCAAACCTGGACTGTACTTAAACGACGAATGAAATCGAGATTTGTTCCTCCATACTATCAGCGTGATCTACGATTAAAACTACAACGTTTAAATCAAGGTAGTAAGACTATTGAGAAATATTATCAGGAGCTTTTAATTGGTCTAGCACGTAGTAACATACGAGAGGATGAAATGGATAAGTGTTCTAGATTTTTTGGAGGTTTGCGTCGTGAAATACAGGATGTTCTTGACTATAAAGAATGGACTAGATTTTCCCAATTATATTATTATGCTATTAAAGCTGAAAGGGAAGTACATGGATAACAACCTAGGCGTTCCACGACTCCGTCCGTGACTCCATCCATTCCTTCACGTCCAACCGAGGTGAGTAAATTTTCTAATGTGCAGACACCACCAGCGTCTGTAAAGAAGAGTTCTCCTATCACACCTTCTTCTAGTGGATCTGCTACACCTTTCTCTAGCAGCTCTTCTAAAGTTGTGTGCCACCGCTGCAAGGGCATGGGATATATTGCTAAAGAATGCCCCAGCAAACGCGCATATATTGCTACTGATGATGGTGGGTATGCTAGTGCTAGTGATGAAGAGAATGAATTTGCACTTGCAACTGATCTTTATGCAGATAAATTTGCGGATAGTGCTGAAGATCCTGATGAGGTAATTGATAGTGTGGCATGCACTGCAGACTATAAATCAATCCTTGTTCAGCGTATTTTGAGTACACAAGTTAAGCCAGTAGACAAGCTACAACGCCATAATTTGTTTCAAATGTTCCTCATTGTCAATAATTTCTATGTTCGTGCTATAATTGATGGAGGGAGCAGCAATAACTTGGTCAGTTCTGAGCTTGTCAAGACTCTTGGTTTATCTACACGTGCTCTTTCACATTCATACCATGTTCAGTGGTTCAATAATAGTGGTAAGGCAAAGGTAACACAATTTGCTCGTGTGCATTTTTCTATCGGATCATACCATGATTATGCTGATTTTGATGTCGTGCCAATGCAAGCTTGTTCACTTTTGTTAGGCCGTCCTTGACAATACGATAATAATGTTGTACATCATGGTAGGCAAAATAGATATACTTTTATGTTTAAAGGAAAGACCATTGCTTTACTTCCTTTAACACCTGCTGAAATTATGCAAAATGAAAAGGAATTTGCTGAAAAGAAAAAGAAAGGCCTTGATAAAGACTCTAGCAAACCATTAAATGAACCTTCAAGTAACATGAAAGAAGTTTTATTTGCTCTTAAATCTGTTCTTGCTGTTCATGATGAACCATGTTATGCTCTAACTTGTACATCGCCTATATGTCCACCTGGTCCTACTCCTAGTGCTGTGCCTCTTGTTGGTACTAACCTTTTGTAGGAGAAGGAGGATGAATTCCTAGCAGGGAAACTACCATGGCAGCCGCCTTTACGAAGGATGGGGCGCCAAGATGAACATCTTCTTTCAGAGCCATCATTGCTGTCATCCAATGGAGGAGACGATCTACTTCAGTCGAGGACAACTTCAATTCAAGAAAGGAAGGATGATGAGGACATCACTACTTCGTCGCATACAAGTCAAGGAGAGGAGGAGGTCCAGCATGGGCGTCCAATTCATCTTTTCCATGATGAAGGCCCAGTCCAACTGAAGTTGGAGCCCATTTCGGGTTCCAGGACCAGTTTGCCTTAAACTGGTCAACCAGGATGCATCCGGACTCTGTTTTCGACGATCCACATATGGATGGAAAACTAATTTGATAAGGAAGCCAATCCAAGTGGTCTCACGTCAAAAGCTATTTGGAATCAACGGGAATCATGGTCACAAGTCAGCGCCCAAAATCTACCAGGGTGCTGCGACACCGTAATTTGGTCTGTTGGACTGTGTATCGTGTTTGGGCCCATTAGGGGGCACGTCTAGGGGGGTGACGCCCAAGACTCTATAATTAGCAGTCGTCGCTCTCCTTAGGGTTTGGGTTTTGTTTAGTACTTGATTTCCTCGTGAAACAGACATAGTTTTGCTGCAACTGTGCCGTCAAGGCTGCTTGTTGTGAACCAGGGCCCCAGTTCTTGATCTTGTTCGCCTGTGGTGATTAGTCCTTTCGAATAAAGACTTGAACTCCTTATTTTCATAAGAGCGCCGCCCAGAGGTTACCCAGCAGCTATAGCAGGTGTCGGCGATGGGTGGGTCCTATTGCATCCAGATCTATTTTTGCAACATTCATGTGAAACACTTGAAAAATACGTCCGAAAACAGTTGAAACATTTGTGACATACGTCCGGAACACTTGCAAAAACACTTGGAACACTTGAAAGCCATTGCAAACATATGCAATATCCAGATGAAACACATGCAACAGACGCATGAAACACCCGAAAACACTTGATATACGCTTGCACCATGCATGTATATGCAACATCCAAATCTATTTTTGCAACATCTAGATGATAACACTTGCAACATACGTCTGATAGAGATGAAACATTTAGAATATACAATTGAAACATATGTGTATAGCCATTGCAACATGTGCAACATCCCGATCTACTTTTACAACATCGATATAAAACATGTGCAACATACCTATGAAACACCTGAAACACTCGAAACATACATTTGCAACATATTCTTTCTGCGCAAACATCTCCTTGCTACTTCGCAAATGGAGGCTCCTCACCGCGTGGAGGTCACCGGTGTGCTCGCCTGCAACACGAAGCTGGGCGGTGGGACACAGAGGGTGGGTGTGGAGGAAGACGACAGCGCCTGCAGTCTTGCAGAGGGAGGCAGTGGTTGGCGCATGGAGGGCAGGTGGGCGCGGCGCGAGTTGCGCATTTTCGCCTCGCATATGCCTTCCACCGCAAGGGACATCTCTAGGCTTACGCAACCCACCTCTAGGTACCTCCTTGTCTTCACGAGCAGGTAGGCCTGATGATAGGGCTTTGTCGCTTGGGGGAAACAAAGCAGAGTAGCAAAAGGGAAACAGAGCACAGAAAACGTTTACACAGTGGAAGCAGATAAGAAAGCGATGAGTGGAGGGGAATTAGAGACATAGAAATAAGCAGGGAATGAAAAAAAAGGCAAAGTTGTGGTGCATGTCACGCCACACATCCGTCCTAAGGGAGTTGTTGGTGTAGGACGTTCTGTTTGTAGCATTACCGATATGCAATATATATATATAATAAATGTGTTGCTACAAATTCTTCATTGTTTTTTATTGCATTTATCATATAATGGTGGGTTACCGAGTTTGATGACGAGGACTGGACTATCACCCGTATTGTTGTTCAGAGGTGATTTGAGGTTCGAGTTATCATGGAGCCGACACCCCAAGCGCCATTTGAAACTAATGATTTCGCAGAAAAAAAATCCGATTCCTGCTTTTTAGGTGATGATGATCTGTATACAAGGACACACTAATGTGAATAGACAAAATTACCCCTTGCTCCCTCTGTTGTTGAATATCTGTCGTTTGCGCTTATCGAGAAACAACTTTGATTAAATATATATTAAAAAATATTAATATTAATGGTAAACAATTAGTATCGTTAGAAAGATCTTTAAATCTAGTTTTTTAATAAATTTATTTGGAGATACAAATGTTGCATGTATTTTTTACAAATCAAGTCAAACTTGTGGCACGCGGCGACACTTATTTAGGATGAATGGAGCACGTTCATATATATATATATATATATATATATATATATATATATATATATATATATATATATATATATATATATATATGGAGAGTATATTAAGTAGCTAGCTATAAAAATAAATTATTCTGTAGCCAGCTCCATTTACGATAATTTTATATACTAATTTACGATAATGTCAATACATATTTACGACAGTTGAGTTACTATAACACATGAGGATATTTACCATAACGTTATAGTAAAACACTTAGTAAGGAGTTACTATAATTTCGTAAATTAACATAGTAATTATCGTAACTCAAAATAACTACAGAATAAGTTATTTGGTAGTCAGCTACAGGGTAGCAGTTATATATATATATATATATATATATATATATATATATATATATATATATATATATCACCTTTCGGCATGCACATGTCTAAAATACAGTAATCCTATATACGAACGGAAGAATATATATATTACACATACTAATAGTACTCCGTAGTCCGTACACGACACCCTCCTTGAGACTGATGTTGCTGTAGAGAGGCTCTCTTCAATCAATCATCAGACTTGAAGAGCTCACGTACTGTCAAATGATCGCTGCAGCCGGCGACCCGGCGGAGCCACGGCGACCTGAGCTCAAGGAGAAGCAGCAGCGGCGCCGTCGGTACTGCTGCCATTGAAGCAGTAAGGCGGTGCCTGCCACTTGGTGGGGTCCTGCGGCACTCCCCCCACCTCAAAGCTCAGCACGTGCCGCTGCATCCCTGTCCCTGGGAAACACGAGCGCATAATTGCATATAAATCATCAATCAATCTGCTGGATCAAGCAAATTAAACACATACTAACAGGCGGAAGAAATTCAGAGTTCTAGAACACCATAACAGAAAAAGAAATATCACTGAACTTGCCAAGTTTCAGATCAATCAAGAAACTAAATACTGGATTTGTTCGCAAATCAGCGATCAGTGGACGGCACCATTAACGACGGTCCAGCTGACGGGGCGGCCGGTGGCGGCGTCCTCGTAGTATCGGGCGAAGACGAAGTTGGACCAGACGTGGCAGTCGAAGCCGTCGACGCGGTCGCGCCCCAGGTAGGCGGCGCCGCCGCGGGCTTTCCATTCGGGCGGCAGGAGGCCCACGGGGTACTGGAAGGTGGTGCAGGACGCGGAGTCGAACAGGAAGGAGGTGCCGTTGGCCCATTGGACGTCCCAGAGCGGCTCGCCGCCGGAGTCGAGCTGGTCGCGGATGACGTTCAGCCCGCGCCCGCGAGGCCAGTCGTAGTAGATGTCGATCTGCTGCAGCCGGCCACCGCGCGCCGTCTGGTTCGTGATCACCACTGCGTGGTACTGCTCTGGCCACGGCGGCGTCGCTGGCACCAGCGGAGAATGATGATGCCCGTCCCCGGCCTCGGCAGCTGGTGCCGCTGCGGCGACGGACGGCGGTGTCGTCTTGGCGTTGCCCGCGGCGATTAGGAGGAGGAGTGGGAGGAGCTGGAGAGGCGACATCGGCGGGGCTGCGGGTGTTGACGAAGGAAGGAGAAGTGAATTCTTACTTTCGTCCACACGAGAAAAGTTGCTCGTATAATCCGCCGCTCTCGAGGTGCAACTGGTTGCCCTCCCCAGTCCCACCCCGCCATGACTGAAGTCTGATGACTCGGGCAGTCGTCGCCACAGCACTCTAGCACAGTCGCCAGCCAAATCTGCCATTGACAAGTCAGTTTGCTCGTGAGAATCATTTTTCTTTTTTAAGCAAGCTGTCTTGTTTACGGGTAAGAGAGCAACGTACTCACCGTTTTCCACAGCATTTATCCCTACAGTTGGAGTGACGGTGACTGACAGCGTACGTACAAACACACAAGAAGAGAAAGGGGATAATCTGTGTATTTCATCTATATATATCTATATCTATTTCTCTCCGACCTATTTTCGTCCGACCCATTCTTTTCGCCCAACTACCAGCCCACTCACATCGCACTCGCAGTCTTCAGCTTCTGTCTACATAACGCACGCCACCGCTCCGTCGTCTCTTAGGATGATTTTGTACCAGTGAAAGCCGTATATTCGTAAGTACTCACTTTTTCCATTTGTTGGACTGTCTGTTACTATGGTCTATTGGTCGAATCTATATACTTTAATACAAAACTATTTTTTCCTTTATTTATTAGCAAATATGCCCATACGTTGTAAATAGAGAAAAAACTATCAAACATTCATGCAAAACGATTACGTGAATGTCACATATCTATTTATGTTTTATCCTTCTATAATTTATTTTATGAGACAATGATATCCATAATGCAAGTTAATGTTGACAATAATATAACAATGTCCTTCTAAACCTGTATCGAATTAAAATACACCTTGATATATTTTTTCTTTCGTTGCAAACCACATAAATATGATTATGACAATGTCGATTTTCCACATGGCAACCCGCGTCAGAAATTACATAAATACATTTGTTTAGACTTGATTAGACAAAAATTGCCCAAGATCCAGTTCACGGAATAATTGGTTACACCATTGAATAATCTATATTTTAATAAAAATAAGTTGTGTTTCTAATTAAAAGTATATCAAATGGTGTAAAACTTTGTATCTATTGTTAGTTTTTCACGTTTATATGAAAAAAACCCACAAGAGTGAGTAATAACGGACGGAAAAAAAGGTAGATAAAAACCCAGCGGAGCGAACAACAAGCCACAAAACTGAGTACAAAAAAAAACAAAAATAGAACAAGCGACAAAAATCCGAAACATAAAAAATTGAAACCAAGAGATCAGACCAACCAAGTAGATATAGCTAAAATTTTGCCGGCCAACAAAACTGACCCAGCACAGCCAACTTTAGTCCCAATCCACCCCCATCCCGTAACCTACTAACCTGCACTCGGCCACTCATTCCACTTCCACGAGCATCGGTCTCGAAAAAAGAGAGCACATGGCGGCGGCGGCGGCTGGCCAGAGACGGCCTCGCGGCCAGGCCGAACTCCGAAGCGGCTGTTGCTGCCTGCGCCTCTCCTCCTTCGCTGGATTGCGGTGCGGCGTAGTCCCTAGATAAGCGGCGGCTGCTGCCTACGCCTCTCCTACTTCGCTGGATTGCGGTGCGGCGTAGTCCCTGGATAAGCTGCGGCGGTGTCCAGCACGAGCGGTGGCGGCGTGTGCAGCGCGGGTGTCGGTAGAGGCTGCACGAGCAGCACACTCCTGTTTTTTGTCTTCCCCATCTCGACTATTCATCTTCCCCAACCCGGAGTGGTGGGGGAGGCAGCACGAGCGTGAGCAGCGGTGACTACTCAGTGATTGTGGTAGGCGACGTCGGGTGAGGCCTGGCTGTTTGTGCTCATTTTTTTTTGGCTACATAGTTGGTTTCCTGGATTTGCTATGTATTTGGTCTCGATCTAGTTTATATACATATCTGATGGTCATGATTTGATATTGTACTCTATTAGGTCTTGACCTAAATCGTGATGGCCTTGATTTGGTTCTCTACTCCTCTTGTTCCTCGGTCTATTTGGTTTTCTATCTAGTTCACAACGAGGAGACTCCGACGTATTCGTATTGTATTCGATTTGTCCTATTAGATTTCGTATGGTATTCGATTTGTCCTATTGGATTTCGTAAGGGAGTTCATTGCATCGGAGGTGGAGCTTTCGGGTATAATCACGATGGGGGGAGGCCAAACGAAATTTGAGTCCATATGAAATTTGAGGCTGAAATTTTGCCTCTTTATTATTAGGGATAGATTAAAAAAAAAGTTCCGAAGATGAACGCGGAGTTCTCGTCCGTCACGCACGCGTAGAACACCGTCATGGTCTTTTGAGTCCTTGTTCGTTATTACTGACATGGTACGTCGTCGATGCCTTTTTCTGATTTATTTTCTCGTTCAGATGTCTTTTCTTTTTTCCGAATTCTTTTGTCCTTTTTCTCCCGTTTCGAAATTGAATCTTCCGTCCAGTTATGTTCTATTCTAATTTTCCCATTCAACTAAATGTGTTTCTATTCTCTTTTTTTTCATGGAGTTCATAAAACTTACTAATATTTAACTGTACCAACACATGGATACTATAAAAATTAATCTTAAGATATATCTACAAGCAATTTTTTTTCTTAGCAACGAAAGAAAAAGATGTATCAAGGCCGTAATTCAATTTGATATACAAGCTTAATTGGATTGTCATATTGTTACTAACATGAGCTTATATTTTGGATGTTCTTAGTCGTCACAAATAAAATATAATTGTCAAATTTCTTAAAAAGGGAAACACAAACCTCTGTTTCAGGATACAAGACGTTTTGGTTTTTTTTTAATTCTTATTAGTTTTTAGATCCAGAGGTTCCAAATCCACAGGTTGCTAACCGCAATGTTCCAAATCCACAGGTTGCTAACCACAATGCCAGTGCCGACAATTAGGATCCAGGAGATCCGCACCCACCACGGGATGATGTCGACGGCCTCTCCGGACAGGTAGAAGGTGGTCATCTTGAGGAGGAAGAGCGGGCCGGCGACGCCCCTGACGAGCGTGTAGAGTGCGTAGAAGGGCGGCGAGAGGGCGCCGTAGACGCGCGCGGCAGCGGGGGACTGGTCCTGCCAAATCCCAGCGAGCATCCAGACGTTGTGCAGCAGGCTGGTGACCTCGCCGAGGAGGAGGAGGACGAGGAGCGCGTAGGCGCCGTGGCGGACGAGGTAGCGGCAGGTGAGTAAGACGAAGAGCGTGGAGAGGTGGTGCGCGATGATGAGGACGTCCCCGGGCAGGAAGACGAGGTAGTGGAGCAGGTCCATGGTGAAGTAGGCGATGCTGTAGTCGAGGACGTGGTCCTGGAGGCGCGCATTGGGCGCGGCGAAGGAGCGGGCTCCTGCGGGCAGAGCGAGGATAGCCCCTGCAGCGGCCAGCGTGGCGGGGGTGCCGTGGAAGAGCGAGATGAGGCAGCTGGCGCCGTCTAGGCGCTGCCGTGGCGCCCACGGCCGGAACACGATGAGTTGGCCGACGCAGTAGATGGCAGCGTACATGGCGAGGAACGTCGGGAACAGCCACCGCTTCTCAGTGGTCAAGGACGCCAGCAAATCCATGGCTGGGCCGAGAAGCCGCCGGATCAGCGCTGGATCGAGGAGAATTGGTTGCGCCAGGACGGTGGGACTGGAGGGAGGGCAAGGGGTAGGGTCTTGGGGCGGCGGCGGCGACATGGAGGGAGATGGACGGCTCTGCCTCTGCGCTGCCACCGCTGTGGTTGCGGCTGGGTCTGGTTTGTTGAGGTGGGGAAGAGGGAGAAGGCGAGATGACAAATTTAAACAAGTGCCAAACAGCCAAAGCCAAACCGTGAGATCGAAACAAGGAGGGTTTTTGTTTGTTTGTCTCGTGTGATTTGAGGCCGCTTCGTAAGGGTTGCATGTTTAATTCTTTTGGGTGAGCTGGGTTTGGTTTGTTGTGGTGAGGAAGGGGGTGAAGGCGAGGCGACAAATATAAATAAGTGCAAAACAACCAAAGCCAAACCGAGAGATCGAGGAGGGTTTTTGTTTGTTTGTTTTGTGTGATTTGAGGTCGCACCATAAGGGTTGCGTGTTTAATTCTTTTTGGGTGAGTTGGGTTTGGTTTGTTGCAGTGGGGAAGGGGGAGAAGGTTCGGCAACAAATATAAATAAGTGCCAAACAGCCGAAGCCAAACCGAGAGGATCGAAACGAGGAGGGTTTTTGTGTTGTTTGTTTTGGTGTGATTTGAGACTGCTCCGTAAAGGTTGCGTGTTTAATTCTTTTGGGTGAGCTGGGTTTTGTCTGTTGCGGTGGGGAAGAGAATAAAGGCGAGGTGACAAATATAAACAAGTGCCAAATAGCCAAAACCAAACCGAGAGATCAAAACGAGGAGGATTTTTGTTTGTTTGTTTGTTTTGTGTGATTTGAGGCCACTGCATAAGGGTTTCGTGTTTAATTCTTTAGGGTGAGCTAGGTTTGGTTTGTTGCAGTGGGAAAGGGGGAGAAGGCGAGGCTACAAATATAAACAAGTGCCGAACAGTTAAAGCCAAACTGTGAGATCGAAACGAGAAGGGTTTTTGTTCGTTTGTTTCGCGTGATTTGAGGCCGCTCCGTAATGGTCGCGTGTTTAATTTTTTGGTTGAGCTGCTGACCACTAATAGTACACACGTCATCCCCCTTGAGACACAGGTGACATGTCACTGCAGAAAGCCCCTCCTCAGTCAACCATAAAGATGGACTTCAACTCTTCAGTTCAAGAGAGCTCAGTGTCAAATGATATGCACTATGCAGCGTCCAGCTGCAGGTGGAGCCCGGACTCCGGACGCCCGGCGACGTGATCTCAGGAAGACGAAGCAACGGCGTTGGCACTGCTGCTGCCATTGGTGTCGGTGAAGCAGTAAGCCGGCGCCTGCCACTTGGAGGAGTCCTGCAGCACTGCCCCTGCCTCGAAGCTCAGCACATGCCGCTGCAACCCTGGGAAAAACAAGAGCGCGTGCAGAAATCATCACTGCTCTGCTGCAGAAATCATCCCTGATAAAACAAGCTCCGTACCATTGAAGTTCCAGCTGACGGGGAGGCCGGTGGCGACGTCCTCGTAGTAGCGGGCGAAGACGAAGTTGGACCAGACGTGGCAGTCGAAGCCGTCGACGCGGTCGCGGCCCAGGTAGGCGGTGCCGCGGGCTTTCCAGTCGGGCGGCAGGAGGCCGACGGCGAACTGGAAGGTGGAGCAGGACGCGGCGTCGAACAGGAAGGCGGTGCCGTTGGCCCCTCCACGTTCCACTGCGGCTCGCGGGAGAGCTGGTCGCGGACGATGTTCAGGTCGCGCCCGCGCGGCCAGTCGTAGTAGAGGTCGATGAGCTGCAGCCCGCCGCCGCGCGCGCTCAGGTTCGTGATCACCACCGCGTGGAACTGCTCCGGCCACGGCGGCGTCGCCGGCGGCACCGGGGACGGCGGAGCAGGAGGCCCGCCGCCCCCGTCGTCCCTGGTGGACGCTGCTGCTGCTGTCACGGACGCCACTGCGATGGTCTTGGCAGTGGCCGTGGCCGTGGCGAGGAGGAGTGGGAGGAGCAGCAGGAGAGGCGACATTGGGGGCTTATCCGGGCTTATCACCGCCTCTCGGTCCGTGCGTAGATGCTAAGGTTGGCGTTCGAGAAAAGTTGCTCATTTTTAATTTGCCGCTCTCCAGGAGCAACGCCGACATGATGATCCTGAGGAGAACGACGTAAGAGGAGGCGACATCGGCCATCGGGGGCTTATCCGGGGCTTATCTCGGACACTTGGTCAGGCTCCGTCGGTACGGTACGAGGAAGCAAACGGGAGTTCCCCATTTAAACGGATAGTTCAGATTCAAATTCACGTTAAGTTATTTACTCGATTTAATTTACTAGTATAGTGCCCGTGCTAACGCTACGGCTTCATTCGAAAACAACCAAATGACGATATATATATGGTTTATGTAAATATGTTGATAATGAAGCGAGTTTCAATGGTAGTCTTTCTTAATTGTAGGCTTGATGAAGTTAACAGTGCACTTCATAGTACTCAATTTATCTGGTTTCTGTCTCTCTAAAAAATAAAATGGCCATGAGTTATATGACATTTTATGAAGATTACTTCATAAGAGCAGAACTAAGCCGACTAACTATTGTACTATCAACTTCCTTCATTATCAGTCTATCACATAAATCAGTGTATGACTGACCACACAGTAAAGAAAGTCTATCACATAAATCATTATATGATCTAACCACACAGTAAAGAATGTATTTGAAGTCACACCCTGAGATCCTGGCCTTTTGTCGTTAATTCTGCATTCCAAAGAATAAAAAGAAAAGAAGGATAATTAGTAGGATAACATACAGAGTAATAATTCAATAAGATATCAGATTGTACAACAAGCTTGTAGAGACATTGAACTTCCGATCGGTTATGATCTTCCCTTTGACCAAGACATTGCATAATTAATTGCACAACTATGAGACTGACTGCCATTGTACCATAGCCTATATTTTACCTTGCAAAGACCACATAACTTCACACCTTGAAATGTTAACTTATTTATCTTTACTGATTTCACTCTTCTAATTATACTGTCAGAAGAAACTTTTCTTGTAAGAATTAAAGCAAGCACGGAATTGAAAAACCAAATGTGTGCATTAAGATAATTACTCCTGATGTCACCTGAATATGCCAAATACAACAGGCAATCAACGCTGACATGTATTCCTCACAAAAGATCTTCGTTTCAAATCATGGATACTGACCTTGGGCCACAGAGGTTTTTGATACAACGGGTTCTTCACTGGACTCCCTTTGCTCCACCAAGAAAGGCACTGGTGAAAAATCAACCCAATTGAAGGCACTGGTGAAAAATCAACCTAATTTGACTGAGCCTCCTTGAACCTCAAGAAGGCCTCCAGCTTGTCCATGGCACCCGTCACCGCTATTCACCAGTTCAGGACGTCTTTGTAAACAATATTCTTGGTACTCTCCTGTAGGATCCAATTCGTCTTTTGGTTTAGCCAAAATTCTAGTTGTTGATCTTGATACCCCCTTGATAAACCAACATAAAACTCAACATTTTCGTTGTTGCCGGTTCCTTTCCTCCCTTTTCCGCGCCGCCTCGTCTGGGCATTTGGGCATATATATAGGAAATTAGTAAGCTATCGTGAGAAGTGTTGCATACATCTCGATAATTAAAAACATACCTGTGATGTTGGTGATATCACTTAGCGCATCGTGTGTATCTCTCGGCATAGACATTGTCAACTACTTGCGACGACATTTATCATTTTTGCTGAATGTTTTTTTATGAAACAAAGATTTATGACACTGCTAATGCTACGGGCCACATCAAAGTCCAAAGCTAATTAACTATACTGAACAACTTGCAAGAGGCATGTAATACTAACAAATTAATTAATTAATAATACAAAAGCATCTGTAACAAAGACCAAATCACTGGTTTCTTTTTTGCTACTTCTTTGTACAGTCCTTTGCAAATATTTCTGTACAGCTTTGGTCTCTATATAAATAAATTTCCTATCCTGTTTGTCAACAGAAAAAAATAAGAACAAATCAGCTGACAAATGAAGTGCCAAATCATATTCTTTCAAGCTGAATATTGGTATTCCAAGCACAAATTACTGAGTTTACACTCATGGCAAACATTTCGCGGTCTCTGTGTGCTTCATATTTTAGGACTCTGCATATTGATTATCATTATTTCATCATGGGATTTCAGGGAAACTCTTACTGAACCAACATGCACTATGTAGGTGATGCCTCTGCTGACGGAGGCTGGAGCCATTGCCCGTTTTACTCAAAGACAACTAACCATCACTGCTTGACATGTGTGTTACCATTCCCATGCTTAAAATAAAGATTGTATGTATGTGCATTTTCGAGGAAATTGCATAGTTTTGCATTAGTTGTAGGTTTGAAAATGCATTGCAGGAATAAGTTGGATTTTATGTTTTATCTCTGAACCCGCCTGACTTAGTTCAATAAGATAGTTATGTTCCTGTCAAATATATTTAATTTATGGATCTTTTGGTTGTAATATCCAAAATAAATTTAATAGGTGTATGAGCCGTCAATGAAGATAGAAGCAGAGCTCCGGGCGGTACATTAAATGAGAGTGGAGCTTGCACAAGTTCGTCTAATCTCAACTGAAATTCATGTCATCGTCAGGCAACTAAATTCAGAAGTTTCAAATCCATGTATGTGCATGGCTCGAAATTAAAAGCTAGAAAGTGACCCGACCTGGAACCGGAAGAGTCTCGCACTGAGGGATACCTGTGGTGGCATCACGTGATGATGAAGACTGTGCTGGATATCGCCTGGGCGGAGGGGTTGAGCATGACGGCAGTGCTGCGGAGGTTGTGCTCGCTCCTGGCCTAGTTGCAGTCACCGATCGAGTGCTGACGGCGCCGCCACTGAGGGCGCCGCGATCACGGCGCGGGGGCTTTGGATTGCGATCGTCGCGGTGCCCGTCGCTCGAGGCCCGGTGCCGGACTGCCGCCGATGTGCGCGCGGAGATCGTGGCTTGCATGCGGAGATCGTGGCGGCGCGAAGATAGAGGTCTCGCTGGCGGCGTCGACGGCAGTGTCCTCTGCGGTGGGTACGACAGCGACTCTGTCGTCGCGGCGGAGGCAGCAGCCGAGCAAGTCGAGGGCGCAGGGTCTGTGGCCTGCGCGCAGAGATCGTGGAGATCG